TATATACACACACAAATTTCATTTATTGTGTCATTACTTCATTCCTTTTTAAAAGGTACTTTTGTGTGTTTTTCTTGATTTTTATTTATTTTTTGCACTATTTCTTTACATAGTTAATATAGGGAAGTTGCAACATAATTTGTATGCTTTTATGAAAAAATTTATAATTTATAATTTACATATTCAAGACCCAACAAGATAAATTACAGTCTAACCTCTATAAATTAATATAGTTGGGACCAAGAAATTTTATTATTTTATAGAGATATTATTTAATCGATAAATTAATATTTATTAATCTAAAGAATGTTTGAGATTTAATGAAGGTTAATTTTGAATATATAAAATCATTGTATCTTACTAATTTATGTATCATATTTATTTATTTCACATAAAAAAAAATAGTATCCATAAAGTACAACATATACATCAAAATCATTGTATCTTTACTAATTTCAACCTTTTGAGGTTGGGATAACAAGAATTGTCAAGATATACTATCGAACAAATTTTATCGTAGGATATTAGAAGACTATGACATGAGACAAATTGATCCAGTAAAGATTAATGCTTTGGATGTTGTCAATTTCTCAATCCCTTTTTGGACAAAAAATGTTCGGCAAGAGATAATAACAAATTGTTTGACACTGTAAATTCGTGCGAGGGATGCAATCTTAGAGAATTTGAATGAACCGACTTGTAAAAACATCATTTATGAACTTGAGGTCATTGATTAATGATCTCGGTTACCACAATAAAATGGATGTAAATAACATGTTAGATTATCCGGGTGAAAGTAAACATGTTAAGAGGTCAGAACATAGAAGAAATTGTGGATATTACCGAAAAAAGCAATGTTGACGATAAATTAAAGATGATGGTATACCCTTGGTACCATTTGCGCGTAAGGGAACACTTATCACATCTAGAACTATTCAGAATTTTATAATACAGTTTGAAATGACAACACCAGAGCTTTTAGATGTAATAAGAAAACTTAGAGATGAGCTTCAACTAGATTTATATTTTAAGAAAACCAAAACACAATAGAATCATATTTTACTAAATTGTCTTGATATATTTGTATTTTTAAAGAATTATTAATTTATGATATTAATGGGACCATATATATTTATATATGTTATCTTATTATCTTATCAAAATTGATTATTTTTTCCATTGGCCCAAGTCGGGACTGGAGGAAAATATTATTTTAGAGTGATTATTAATTTACCGAGTATTAATTTATAGAGGTTTTATTGTATGATGTTCCTTCCCTATTTTAACCGAATTGTGGAAAAAAAAGAAAGAAAAACACAACAATAGTACCTTTAAAAAGGAATAAAGTAATGATAGGATAAATGAAATTTGTGTCTAACAGAAAAATATATTGAAAAGTGAAACTTTATTATAACACACCCAATAAATATAAAAATTAATTTCAGACAGTTGAAAGGTCATAGAGCTAATTAGGATTAGGTAGTCCAAATGGGGCAAATATAAATTTGAGATGAAGAGCATCAATTCAGTATTTACACATTCCAATAGAACAAACGAGTTTGTAATGATTAAGGTTTTAATTTAATCACAAGTAAAATGGAGATTGATGTAACTTGTAACAATCACGTGTCTGCACTAGATAACTAGTTAGCAGGCTGGCTATGCTAGTGAATTTAATCATCCAGCCAATTAACTAGGTGATAGAGAAACCATTTCCCAATTTAACAAACTCAAGCTTTTCTGAGGATCATATATCAGAGTAGAAATGGCCAATGGGTAGCAAATACCAGAGAATTAGATATGGACTGGACCCACTAATGTCTAATTACATGGAAAGTTTACAAAAGCTTGTATACATTGTTCTTCCTATATATCAGAAACTCACCTTCAAGACAACAAAGAAGATTCACTAAAGATTTCTCGGTCGACCCATTGAAGTGCTCCAAAAGATCAGAAAGGGTAACCTGCATATTTATACATTTTCCTCCCATCAACAACTAATATGAAAACTTCAAAAAGTTCAATCTCACTGCAAAGGAGAACGACTTACCCCATCATCAGAGTTCTTGAGCCAGCTCAATATGGATTCTTCCGTGGCATCCAGAGCCCTAAAACTTTCTTTTTCTGCTGCTTCGACCTTCTGTCGTTTTGTATGAATGAGAAAATCACCTTCACTGGATGCAGCTTCTTTCCTACTCTCAGTCAGGAGATGAGATTCTGCTCCTTCAGTCTCCCCAGGAGAAGAAGCACAAGTGATGCCAGGTGCTTCACCTATGTCATCATCTCCTTGCATGTCAGATTGAATAATAGAGTTCTGTAGTACTTCTGATATTTCAGTCAAACATTCATCTCCATTGCAACTTTGTTCAGATTTGTATGAAAATACTTCAGCTGATACTCCTGCCTCTTGCATCGTCAAGTACGCCTTTATCTGACCATAATTTACCTGCTTAATAAGATGACATTTACCTTTAACAATATGGTTGGCATGATACCTCACTATAAAGAATACACTACAATTACAAACAACTGAACAATCTTTCATATGAGTGATTTCAACATAGACCTCACCTCTTCTGGTAACTCAGTTTTTATCGGCTTCAATTTTTCCCTACCAACTTTTGAGACAGCATTCTGGATACTTAAGAATGTCTCTCTTGTAAGCCCAGTCTCCTCACAAAACCTAGTCCAATTCATTTTGCATCCCTCTCGTGCAGCTTCGAGTATATAATCTAGCACAGTTTGTTCCTTTATTGCTACTGCTCTACTAGGAAAATTCTATATTCAAAAAGAATATGTAAGAATCGTAACAGGCAAGCTGAAGGTTCATCAAATAAAATCCTAATAACATGACTCACTGCAATTTCTTTGAACGTGAGACCATCCTCATGCCACATCTTCCATGCTTCAAATTTTGCTGGTGTTAACTTTTTATTGATTGGAACTGTGAGAGTCTTACTGGGAACAGAGGTTTGACTGGTTGGTTCCCCATCCAGAGAAAGATTGCAAGCTTCTGATAGATGCTTAATACTTAGAAGAAAATTGTCCCCATACAGTTTTATGAAATGCTGCAACAGAATTGAGAAATCAACTCCAGTAACACCAACAGTCACATCAAAGTCACATGCACTAAAAGAAACAGATTTAGAATCCGCTAAACAATCAGGAACAAAATAGATGCTAACATAAGACACTCCTTTTCTGCATGGTTTCAGCAATAAAGATGGCAACAAAAGTAAAGCAGAAAGGTGAATCATGGATCAACCTCATGATAGGGATTAGGGTGCAAGGGGGAAGAGAGAGAACACCAAAAGCAGGCATACGAGCACGGAAAATAAAAATGTATGAAGACAGAGAATTACAGAAAGGAGCTTACACAGTTTGACAAGTGAATAACATGAACATTACAAGGTACATTCACCTTAAGGTCTGTAACAGTTACAGGTATTTTGATATCAGTATCCAACTACTAAGTATACCTGGTTTACGCCATCTATATTTGCTAGTCTTGCTTTTGTAGAAGGCCTTGTCAAGCTTATCCTTTTCAATGTTTGGTCGCCACAGACTGCATATCTGGAAGTGACAACTAGATATAAATTTGTATCTCACTTTTATGCATCCAGGAAAAATACTGTCATAGCATGCATGTAGCATCCTTTATATTCAAATATCATACAGATAGTTGTTAAACCAAAGTTCCACAAGAATGAGCTAAGAATTGTATTATGTACTTACGGAGCAGTTCCAGTAGCTCTGGCAAGCTTAATTCTCTCTTCTATAAGTATTTTGTACAGTCGAGTTTCAGCCTGAATAATCCACACAGGAAAGTAATATTAGTGTGGGCACCACTAAATTCAAATGTGGAAGCCAAAGTACGCCAAACATTTGAGTAGCCTGTGAAACTATGGAAATGCACTTTTTTTTATGTCTGATAACATTGTTTCATGTTCTAGCGCCATTCTGATTCAAAGGAGTTTCAGGCATTACGAAGGACTGTTAGAAGCAGAGATGTACATGAAGCATATCAGAACATCCCAGCAACTAAGGCTAGCTGAGGATGTTTGATGATGAGTTCTACCATTTTGCATTAGCAAGAGAACTTTGAGGAAGAGAACTTAGATTTATAGGGATTTATTAAGGTCTTTGCTGCATACAGTGGCATATGTAGGATTAACTACGCAGGTTCAGCCAAGTGCTAACTAGCAATGGAGGAGACACAGACTTGAAAGGCAGATCAGCGCGCAACTCTACTTTTTGGTTCATAACGTGGGAGGCCACAATTCTTCTTAAATAATTGGACAAAACAACCTCATTTTGCATTCACTTTTATTGAATTAAATTAGAACAATTAAATTTTAAATGAAAGAACTGATTTTGTCTCTTCAACAAATGCAAAGGTTTTGATTGATTGGCTCTTTTTTCCAAGTTCAGTGCACTGAGAGGTCAAAACATGATTTTGGAAGTTCAAAAAATATCCTAAGAGAAATATTTCTTCAATAATTTTTTAAAACAAATTATAAACTAAAATTCTAATAGGATAAACTCTAAATACAAAAATGATTAACAACAAATCCATTAACTTAACGAAAAATATAACTTTAACAACTAAGTCTAATTTAATTCAAACCATTTTTATTGTAACGTGTTGCTTTAACAAACTTAACATTTCATTGAGTCATTAATGGATTTTACCTTTTTTTTATGACCGTGGTTTCCAGGCCAGCTTTCGCACAGCTCGGCTAATACCACGGGATACCTATCACCCCCATGAGCAATAGGTAACTCTGTGTGACACCTCGGAAATTGGAAGTTGAGATTGGAAAGGAAAAGTTTCATTTTTGGCACTGTTTCCGACCTACGGAACATAGGAAGTCCTTCATTGGTCTTGGTTTGAGATTTGGAAAATGTCACTTCCCAGTAAGTTAACCTATGAAAGAACAGGACAGATTGTAGGGTGGTCTATGGGTCGTTGGAAGTGCCGTGTTATCAAAGGCGCGCTTTAAGCCCTGAAGCAAGGCTCAAAACATGTTGAGCTCTTCGCCTCGCTTTATGTGAGCTTCGGTGTCGTCATCATGGTTCTAAGGCAAACTTTTCCTTGCTAATGAGCCTCTTATGAAGAAGTGACACTAAACATGATATTTCACTTTATCATAATTTTATTTTCAATTTCTTTGGTCATAAATGTGTCGTTCATGTTTATAATTATTAGTCTTGGACTAAACATATATATATTGTATTTTTTTTCTCCGTTTGCGCTTTTTCATTAAGGCCCACGCTTTATTTGCGCTTAAAGCACCCACAGAGCTTAGCTTTTTTACAGTTTTGGCCTTTGATAACACTATGTAGGGTCATTCAAAGAATTGATTTGAGACCTTAGGTTTACGAGAGAATTTGACAAATCGTGATCTGGCCTGTGGGTCGTAGAAGGTACCATAGAAGTGATCTAGACTTAGTGAAATTTTTTACTTCAATTTGGACTCAAGGGAAGGGGTCTATGGACCGTAGAAAGGACTACACCCCATAGGTTTTGTTGAAGTTGCCTAGGATTTTGAGTCCCATTAAATGATTTAACGTCTAACCAAGACGGTCCGTAGAAGTTCCTACTAACCGTAGGTCAAAGTCATAGGGTCTTCCGACAGTTTTTAATTAAGGATACTTTGGTCTTTTCCTACCTAATTAATCCTAATATATGTCGTTTTGGCCCTATAACTACCCCTATAATCATTTTTACTCCTAAGACTTAAGTCAAAATCCTCTCAATTCAATCAATTATCCCAAAACCCCTCAAGTCTTCTTCTGCAAATCCTCTCAAGAGTTCTCAAGGTGGAAGCTAGGTTTCAAGCTTCAAGGTCTCATTCTCATTGTATTCAGGGTTTCGATTATCAAGGTATGTGGGTATTCACCAATGGACTCCTTTCAACCATTGATTCCAAAAGTATCTCAAACTCCTAAGTTGATATCACCCAATTCCAATTAGGGTTTCATGCTAAATTCCATGGATCCTATTTATTATGATTCAATTGTTGACATTCAATCTTATTATGCATGATTTGATTCAATCACATGAATTTCATTTGATTTTTTATTGACCAATGTCCATGCCTATTTCATGAACTTTAATTATGATAGATGTTTATGAACTTATGAATTATGATTATGAAAGTTATGCATGTTTTATGAAAAAGATGATTTACAACTATGGATGTTGTTGAGATAAGTATCAATGAATTGTGAAAGGTTTTCTCACATATGAATGCAATCATTATTTAGATGCTTAGAAAGGTAAGTGTCTAATATGAAAGTTTATGAAATCATGGTTTGAAAGGAGCTACTCTATTATGATTTATGATTGGATTGGTAGTGTAATTGTGCCTTTCCAAGTATTTTGATATTATTATGATTATGTCTTTTCCGATGGGATTTTCTTAGCACTAAAAGGACTTTGAGATGGAGGCTCTCCTGTTAGAAGAGGTCGAATCTCTAGAAGAATCTCCTTGAACCTTAACTACATGCCAGTTAGATCGTCCTAAATGACCTAAGCTAGTGAATAAACTTTATGTGACAGAATTCTCCCTTGGCAAGTAGATTCTCCTTTATGGTGTGAGGGTTATACCGGATTCCATGTTATAGAACATGGTCTTATTGTCGTTTAACATAAAATATTCCATAAATGAACTATGTTTTCTTCTAAGGTTTTATGAAAGCTTCTCAAATGGTTTTAAGTATGCATTGACATCGTATATGATTTAAGATTTCTTTATAATGGCTTTTATCAAGTTTTGCTCAGTCTTGCATATCATGTTAAGCTCCTCATGTTTATCATGCCTATGTTTTTATACATTTCCCCATACTTACTACATTCATCTTACTATTGCATATATGTGCCTATATTGGCTCATAATATAGGGTCTGACGTTCCTCCTCCCACTCATGGCTAGCTTGGATTGTTCTATTAGCACATCGGATTGGTGAGTCCTTCGTGCTCCGAGGATAAGACCATTGATGCTCTATTTCTTTGATTGTTTTTAGTTTCCGACTTGCATGTGGTGTATGAGTTATGTCTCAACCACAGTTATGATGTTAGAAAGGGTATATCAGACAAAGTTTAGTATTTTGCACTTATGTTCATATTCCTTTTATGATTTTAGACTTATGTTACCTTTCTCTCTCTTATTGTATTTCTTTTACATCAGGCTTAAGTCAAGTGGCTTGTTTAGGGTCTCTTGGGATCTTATTCTCCATGTCACTTAAATAAACTAAATTACTTTTATTGCGTGTGAAAATAAACTTATTATATATTTTAAGTATAAATGGTCTTTAATAAAAATGAGACTAAGATCTTTGTTTAATCACTTATTCTAAATCAAAAATGTGCCTAAAAGAATAAGAATAAGAACTCTGTTTGGATTACCCATTCAACTAGTAAAACTAATTATAAAGACAGCACTATGTCATCAAAGGAAAAGAGGCCCAAAACACTTTAAGGTCCATTGGGCTTTAAGTGCAAAGCACAAATAAAATGTGGGCTTTAATGAAGAAAAGCAAAAATGGAGTAAAAATACAAATATATTAGTGCATGACTAGTAATTATGATAAAAAATAACAAATATACATGGACAAGGAAATTGGAAAATAAATTATATAGAGGGAAATGTCAATTGTTTAGTGTTGGCTATTCATGATACACTCATTGGCAAGGAAAGGTGACACTTAAGCTCCCACGAAGGGAGGCGAAACGAACAACACATTTTGATAACACTGCCCACCATCACTATTGTTTTACCCAGTTAATCAAATTCATCTTTGATCATCAAAAGCTCTTCAAAAGCTTTTAATCCAAACACATTTACATTAAATTAAATGAGGTATAAGGAGGAGTCCTCCCCAATTAACTGTCTCCAATTCCTATTGTAAAAAAGCACGCACTTCTGGGACAATAAATTCATCATCTATTTTCAAAATGGCCTTAAAAGGAAAAACAGGGAATCTAAACTCTAACTCCCATCTCGCCAAGAGAATGAATCCCCTTAACCAGTAAGCAGGATTCAGTTTATGCTACAAATCCTAACCCTCTTGCATCAAGGAGGTTCTGCTGCAGATTGCATATTGGATAGACCATAATATAAGTCTTTTCACGACTTGGAAAACACTAATATGAAGAAACGAAATAGTTATGACGCAACAATAAGACTGATGTCTGAAAAAAGGGAAATATAAAGAGCACATACTTCTGAAAATCCTTCAAATTCCCTAAAAGCCAAACCATTGATCTCGCTCGTTTCACTGGGTATATCTATGTTTTTCTCATCAAGATCCATTTCAGGAGTCTCCGCCAAAAATAGTGGAGGTTGATGATCAGGGCTACTAGATCTCAGAAACTGCAATCCTTTTTCACTGACACTGATGCATGAAATTTAACATTGTTTCATTCATTTGCAGATATACAATAAGATGTCAAGAAGGAGATAAATAAAAGACCCATGGTTGACAGACGTGTATAAGAAAATGTTCAAACAAATCCTAGAAGAAGTCAAAAGAAATTAGCGAAGTATCTACCTCACAGTTTTGTACATATCTTTGAAGGTTTCTACCAAATAATCTGCAACAAGGCAAATTTTCTGTCAAAATTCCTTGTAATTTAAAGTTGATGAAAAACATTAGGCCTTACACTTACTACTCAGCATTATCTCACAAGGGAAAGAAGCAACTGCTTGAATGAATATACACATTGAAACTTATGATCCTCTATCCAGTATAGAAAAGAGTGACCTTCATGTAGCTAATACTAGAGATAAGTTGGACTGAGATTTATTGATATAAAAGCATGACTGTGTTGCTAATACATACCACGTGAAATCAATTGGTAAGCCAGTCCCTTCCACCAATTTGCAGATAAGTCTTTCCCAAGACCATGAAACGGGAGCTTGTCAAACTGAGCATCAACTATTTTCTTGGACTGTCATTTCCGAAGGGGTTAGTACAAGGAGCTTGGTGTTTTAGGCAGTCAACTAAGGATGAACCAATAATTCAACAGAAAACTATTGAACTTTCAACAATATGCAATAAGGATTTATATTTGACAAAATGAACAATGTCGACACAAGTTCAGTACCTGACTCTTAACAAAGGAGTACCGAGCTTCCTTACACACCTTAAAACAAAAGGTCCAACTCGTCTTAATCTAGCCTATACAGATATCAACTGGAACCGTTTACACTAAAATGAAAATTACATTTTTTATGAGTTTTTATTATTTGAAATTAGAAGCTTCAAAAACATGCAAGTACATCTCCACATAAAGAATATGATATTGCATCCAATTTTTGTCCGGCCTACTTTCCATTTTAACTGAGTCAATCTAAAATAGATGGACCTCTTTTGGTTACCTACTTTGTTTGGAAGGTGGGGAAGAGCAGAGTGAGGAAACCCTGAAGTTCAAGGATGCAAGCTATAATCTCTACCAGGGGGGCCCTACATTAATTCTCCTGTTTGCAAGGATTCAAATCAACGTTGTTAATACTTGATTATATTATGTCACTGATTAGGCATCATTGTTTTTTTTTTAAATTGAAAATCATTATTCTGTGTCTTCCAAATGTTTATTTTCAATCTTCACTTCACAAATGCCATTACAATTACAAACTTTTCTGACATCATAACTAAATATAAGATTCATAAATGTTTCCACTCAAAAATAGGCCTTACAAGTGGGAACACATAGTATTCAAGAATTCATCTCCTAGTTAAACAATAATTCAAACATATTCTCAATTTAAAGATTTCAATGAGAGCTTACTCGAGATCCACGAAGGATTCCTATGGGTAGATTCAAGCCCCAACGGCCTCCACATGACTGAATACAAGCCATAAGAAGAAATGCTTCTCTTGCCAAGTCCTTTTCCTTCATTGAGCTAGTGCAAATATCACAGTTTCCTGGAAACCATATTGAGATTCGTTTCACTCTCTTTAAGTAATTGTCCATACCTCATACCCAAGTGTTGAAACCCAGAATGCTTTCAACCAGTATATTCAAGAAATCCATAGCATTACCCACCAGAACATTTGAAAACACATATCTATTGTATCATTCAGTTCTTGTTCTTCTTCAAAATGTATCGGGAATTTTTCAAAGTTGTAGACACAAACACTAATTTCATGCAACAATGCTCTTACCCTCAGAAATATGAATTTAGACAAGACAAATCTAAGTTGATACATACATTGAACTCTTTTAAAAGATCCCAACTATATAAATAAGACATCCTTTTTTTTTTCAAGGCTATAATTTTATTAATGTTAAGCAGAAACATGCTCATATATAACAAGTATATCAAAAAGAAGAAAACCTATGAAAAGGGATGGTTTTTTACAAACAGAAAAAATGACACCCAATCTTCTATACATAGTCTTGTGGTTGCACCAAAAAGAAATAAGGAATAAGATACTACTTCCTAACAACTTGCACATAACTGTTCGATACTCCTTGATTTTTCTCAAATCAACCACTTCATTAGCCACCAAAACTGCATCAAGTATATATTTGCCTCCAAGAAAACATTCTACGAAGTGGATATGGTCTCATCCAAGACCCTCTATAGTCTATTGGAAAGCACCTAAGGATAATAAAATTCTAGTCTTTGACAGTGTTATCAAAGGCGCGCTTTAAGTGCACTTAAGCCCTGAAGCGAGGTTCAAAAGGTGTTGAGCGCTTCGCCTCGCTTTATGTGCGCTTCGGTGTTGTCATCAATGTTCTAAGGCAAGCATTTCCTTGCCAATGAGCCTCTTATGAAGAAGTGACACTAAATAATTGATACTCCACTTTATCATAATTTGCAATCGCTACCTGATACAATGCTTAGATGATTAGGATTATTAAAAAGTAGTAATTGTTGTTCATTAGTCACAAAAATAGGTATTATTGTTCGTTGTTTGTTAGAATTTGTTAGAGCAGTTATTTCATTAGCGTGTAGTTTTAGCTTCCAATTCAATTCTATAAATAGAGTTGTAATACAATTGTTAAGGCATTGAATGATACATAATAATTCTCTTCTCTCTTTTATTTTGCTCATTCTTAGCTTCTATCTCGGAATTGCTCGGATGTAGCTATCTTCTTCTTCGAGGTTCAGCCTCCTAGTTGACATTATCTTTTCGATTACTGGTAATTGGGTAAATTGGTATCAAAGTTGCTGGTCCTCGGCTAAGAAATCATGGTTGCTCGGGACAAAATCTAGACAGATCTACAAAGAAAATGGAGGGAAGATTGTCTCAGATACAGGAACAATTGCAGAAGTTGATGGAAGGTATGGCGAGTATCAATGATAGAAATGTACAAAACATAGAAGGAACCAATGGAGAGATCAAGCAAGCCCTAGGAAATGCGAAACAGAAGGACAAGGAGATGGATCAGAATAGAGCTAAGTCATTTGTGGGTGGAGAGAGTGAACAGGGGGTTTGCAATGCAGCTAGGGATGTCCAAAATTCTAATGGTAAATTTCTTACCCGATGTTCTAAGCTTGATTTTCCTAGATTTTGGGGCTGAATATCAAGGCATGGTGTTATAAGGTGGATCAGTTTTTTGCCATGGATGAAGTTCCATACGCTCAGAGAGTGAGTGTAGCTTCTATCCATTTGGATGGTGACGCTATTGCTTGGCACAGATAATACTTAAAGTCTAGGAACTCAGTTATAGACCCTTCTTGGTTTGAGTATGTGTTGGTTGTTAATGAAAGATTTGGGGAGGAATTTGAAGATTCCATGGAAGACATTAAAAATCTACAACAAACTGAGGATGTTAGAACATATCAGGCTGATTTTGATAGGTTATTGAATGGGGCTAATTTGTCAAACGAAAATGCTATCAGTTGTTTTCTAGGAGGGTTAAAACATGAGCTCAACAAGGCTGTTAGAATGCAAGCACCCAAAACCTTAATGCAAGTCTACAAGTTAGCTAAGTTGCAGGAAGAGGTTTTTGATGTTCAGGCTAAGTCTTGGGGAATTAGAACTAGCATGAATCAGACTGGTCTTCTCCCTACTCCGACTAGGTTACTGGGTGTACAACAACCTACTTTCTCTAGCACAACTGTCAAGAAACCTTATGAACCAAATGCTAACATGTTCAGTAATGGTAATACGGGTAGAAGGTTATTTATTGACTACTGTTGAGATAGATGAAAAAAGGACTAAAAGACTGTTTCTTGTGTGATGAGAAGTATATGCCTGGGCATATTTGTAAATTCAATAAACAGATGGATTTGGTAAGTTTTGGAAGATGGGGAGGTAATCATGGAGGAAGAAGTGTTAGAAGTGGATCAGTGCATGACAATTTCCTTATCAAACAATCAAGAGTAACTGAATATCATGAAAAAAAATCCTTACAGGTGCTTATTGATACAGGTAGTACTCATAATTTCATTGATTAGTCAATGGCGAGGAAGTTAGGTTGTAAAGTTTTGCCTATACATGAACAACCAGTAAGTGTTGCTGATGGTAAGAAGGTTCAAATTGATGTAGTGTGTAAAAATCTAAAGTGGTTACTGCAGGGTACAACTTTTTCTTCTGATTTCCTACTACTACCATTAGGGAATGTTGACATAGTGTTAGGTGCCAGTGGTTAAACACTTCGGGTAGGATTTTGTTTGATTTCAGAAATAGAACTACTGAGTTTGTGCACATTGGCAGAAAACATGTTTTAAAGGGAGTTAGTAGCCAGATAAAGACCACCAAGGCCCAATCCTTAAACAAAAAGTTTGTTGAATCAGTTCAGGTAATCATGCTTACCTTGGTGAGAGATGCAACCTCGGATCGGCAAGGCAACAGCATACAAGTAACTCAAGGGACTGATTTTCATCCCACCTTAACTTTATAATGGCCCAGTAAAAATGCCTCTTTGGTATGCCTACTACATTGCCCCCTCATAGAAGCATCTTTGATCACAAAATACCACTCATTGACTCAGCTACTCCTGTTAACAGAAGGCCTTATAGATATCCTGGAATGAAGAAAGATATTATTGAGAAGCTAGTATTGGAAATGCCAGATCAAGATGTGATACAACCTAGTTCTAGTCCCTATGCCTCACCTGTAGTCCTTGTTGGGAACAAAGATGGGAGTTGGAGGCTTTGTGTAGACTATAGAGATCTCAATAAACTACAGTAAAGGACACATTTTCTATCCCTATCATTGAGGATTCGTTAGATGAACTAGGTGGAGCTGAAGTGTTCTCTAAGATTGATCTTAGAGTTGGTTACCAACAATTAAGGATGAAGGAAACAGATACCTATAAGACAACTTTTAAAACTCAAGGACACTATAGTTTTCTGGTTATGTCATTTGGTCTTACAAATGCACCTTCTTCATTTCAGAGTCTTATGTATGTGTATTTAAACCACTCCTTAGGAGGTTAGTACTGGTCTTTTTTAATGATATATTGGTGTACAGCAAGGATATGTCAGCTCATGTGCACCATTTACAAGTTGTGTTTGATTCGATGAAGCAACACCAGCTCGAAGTGTGCTTTTGGGGTACCTCAGGTAGAGTACCTAGGTCAGTTCATCCGTGCTATTACTCTGCAAATATCAAACAACTGAGAGGGTTTCTTGGTTTAACAAGATATTTTTTTTTTGAAACTATATCATTTGTATTTCACAGAGTACTTAGGTAGTACTGAAAAACCATATTTACAAAAGCAGAATGTAAGTATAATCTATCCAAAAACTGAACCAAATCTAAATGGATCCTAAAATATCTATAACTGACTCAGTTTCATTGGAGTAGACATTTGTACACCAAAAGCAGAACAACAAAATACACTTAAGCTTAACTTCCTGCAGGTTGTTGTTCCTATTCTCAAAACATCTCTTGTTTCTCTCCCTCCATATAGTCCACCAAAAACTAGCAGGGATCATCCGCCATCTTTCTCTGTTTGTGGCCCTAACTCCAGCCATCTCCCAACCGAATAGAGTCTCATCAATCTTGCTAGGCATACACCAAGATATGCCTCTGAGATCAAGGAAAATCTGTCACAGTTGCCCATTAAAGTTGCAATGTAAGAAGAGATGTCTCAATGTCTCATTAGCCTTCCCACACAAGGAACATCTATTACATAGAGAGATTCCTCTCTTGGCCACATTATCCAATGTCAAGACTGCCTCCTTGGCTAGTTGCCATGTAAAGCATGCCACTTTGTGTGGCACTTTGATCCTCCAGATTTGCTTCCAAGGCCATTTTTAGTCTTGAATGCCACCAGTAATTATCTGTTTGTATCCTTCTTTCACCTTGTAGCTACCTTTGTTGTGCCCCTGCCACCAAAAATAATCCTCGCCTGTTTGTATACCTTGAAAACTCTCCAGAACCTTAAACAATTCAAGTATTCTGGGAATTTCCCAGTCATTCAAATTTCTTCTGAAAATCAGATCCCAGCCTTGTGTCCACATTTCAGCGACAGTCTTCTGTTGGTGTTGAGCCAGTGTAAAGATGTCAAGGAAACGATCTATGAGGCTCATACCACCCAACCATTTATCAAACCAGAAATTGGTTTTTCTGCCATTTTGTACCTTGACAGTTGAACTGAGAAAGGGCCAAAGTATTCGGATGGATTTCCAAAGGCTAATCCCATATGGGGTATTTACCTCTTTGGTTTAACAAGATATTATAGGAGGTTCATTCTGAATTTTGGATCCATTGCTAAACCTCTACTGAATTATTAAAGAATGATAAGTTTATGTGTAATGAGCGTGCTAGTGTAGCTTTTCATGTTCTGAAAGATGCACTAGTGACTGCACCTGTCTTAGCATTACCAGACTATGATAAACCATTCATAATTGAGATTGATGCAAATAGTTCAGGAATTGGTGTTGTCTTGATGCAGCAAGGGCATCCAATTGCCTATATCAATAAGTCCTTGGCACCTAGACATCAGGCTATTATGTGTATAT